GACAGTCTGCAGGACACAGAGAAAAGTGACTGACACACTGCCAATATAAGAAGACAGTTTAAAGTGTCCTGCTTTGCTGAGGAATCTGCCAGACACACTATAGCCTATGGGCTGAAGATGGAACATTACAGAACAACTTCGGGTGACTGACCAGTCATGTTGTTTTTGTCTTTTCTAGAGTTTATATACTATCCTTCTGTGGTCTTTGAAGGAGTTGAAGACAGATAGTTAAGTTTATAGTTTTCCTTAGTTAGGATTAAAGATAAGTTACATATAGGACTTTAGACTCACAAAGATAAAATAGATGATGGAATATTTTCTTAAATCTTACTAAATGTTAATGTACTCAATATTGTTAACTGTAGTTTTTATTTGATAACTGTTGTGTGATATGTTTTGCTATGTTAAGGTTAAAACCCTTCTTTTTGTTTAGACAAAAAAGAGGAGATGATGGGAGATGTCATTCTGTAAATATGTGTCTCTTATTGGGTAATGAATAAAGCACTGTTGGCCTATAGGAAAGGAAGGTAGGAGGGACTAGGAGACAAGGAGAAAAGAGGAAGTAGTAAGGAGGAGTCAGCATGTAGAGACTGGAGAGAGCAGATGCTGGCCCTACTTTCTGGTAAGATGAGACCACGTGGAAATACTTAGATTAATGGAAATGGGTTAATACTAAGACAGAGCTAGCCGATAAGAAACACGTAACTGGCCAACAGAGTTATATCTAATACAGAGTCTCTATGTGTTAATTGGGGCTGGCACTGTGGTGGGTCCAAGCTGGCAGGAAAAACATACTTGTAACACAAAACATTAGAAAGTATGAACTAATTTCATGGGTAAAACATTGCTAGAATTATAATTATTATAAACATGTTTAAAACATTATTTTTTTTTTAGAAATAAAGCATAGCTTGATAAGAAAAAGTTACTCTCCTAAATGCAACTAGCGGAGATAGAAATAGTTTAAATTCTTATTTTTTAATAAAAAAATTGTGTGTTTACACAGTTGTATTGAAAACTGTTGAGGTTCACACAGTGCATTAACTACCTTTACACCTGTGAGTTAACAAAACAAACACTGCAATAAATCCTATGAAAGAAGCATGTCTGCCTTATGAGACTCAGAGGACTTGTGTTTGATATCAAGAATGGTTTTTATCCTCTTGAGCAGTGTTGCTGGCAGACATGAGTATAACTCCCTAGAGGCTATTTCTAAGCTATTGTTGTGACTAGTGAGAGGTATAACGAACCCTTTCAATGCAAGACTCACGTCTCAGGAAGTCACAGCCCATTGTGGAAAATAATTAACAAGAATATGGATACTGTATACCCAAAATGATAATATGCAGAGAGAGTGAAACTTAGTCTCTGCACTAAATGGCTTGTCTCTTTTCCATCTAAAACTTTATCAAAAATTTAATTTCCTTTTTTTGTCTCCTCTAGGATATTGAAGAGGCTGCCACTACATGCATATATTTTAAACAGGGATGAGCTTCCTGACTGGTTGTATAATACAAAGTGGTCATCCCTGAATCCATATACACACAAACAAGAAAAATGGACTCTGTAGATTGTATTTACACACTTGCTCCTATATATGAGTGCAACAGCAATCAAAAAGAGGCTGTCAATTGGGGGGCATAGGAAAGGTTAGAGTGTATGGGCATGGGAGGCACTCAAGGAGGAAAGGGAAAGGGGTAGTGATGTAATTATATTTTAATGAAAATGGAAAATTACTATAAATTTTAAAACAATATTCTTTGCCAGACTATCTATCTATCTATCTATCTATCTATCTATCTATCTGTCATTTATCATCTATGTACACAAATAGCTACAGGCATATAAATCACTCATTTTCCTATGTCAATCGCCTCTATTTTGACTAAGAATTGAGCTGAGCTCTGACTAACACTGTCACTTCAAAGTATCACTTTGCTTGCTACAAGCAAGTGTGTAATGGTATATATAGCCTAAAGTTTTGGCTTTCTAAGTGATTTTTTCCCCCTATAAAGTTTTCTGGTGTCCCATTATTTAAGAAAGCTATTGTCTTAACCAGTTTATATTGCAGTGAACTATTGAGTTCTGTTAGGAGCAGTTTTTTTCACCATCCTTGTCCCCACAGCCACAACAGTCCCAAAATAATACACAGAGACTCATTAGTTATAAAGCTGTTGGTCAATGACTAGAGCTTCTTATTGGCTAGCTCTCTTTGCTAGTAACTCATGTATATCAATCTAAGTGTTTCCACGTGGTCTTATCAGGGAGAGAGAGAGAGAGAGAGAGAGAGAGAGAGAGAGAGAGAGAGAGAGAGAGAGAGTTTGGACCTCTTATTCCTCTCATGGTCTACATTTTGACTCCTCTTTACTTCCTCTCCTAGAATCTTCCTTGTCTGCTAGTCCTGCCTATCTTGTCCTATTTGCTAACAGTGCTTTACTCATTAACCAATAAGAGAAATATATTTTCAGAATGACATCTCCCATCAGAGTTCTTTTAGTCTGCATGAGCGCGAGGTCCTCTTAGATTTATTATGAGTGTAACATGTCTTTTGAAAAGGGATTAAATCTAAGAAAAAAGGGCCACAGTCAACCACATTGTCCTGTTCAAGCATGCACATGTTTTATTTAAGTATTCTCCAAAAGTCTATTTTTCCAGCATAATGCAGATATTATGCTATCCTTTGAAATAAGATATATGAATTTCAAACAAAATTGTCAAAAAAACAATGACCTTAGTTACTCCATATGATACACAGAAATAATTACGTTTCACTTACAATACAGATGCACTTAACACAGTCATCAATAGTCATTCACCACCAACACAGTATATTTTTAAATCACCTAAAACATCAAAAAGTTTTTTTAATTTCTTTTCCGTGAAAATCTGAAGAAATTAATAATTTGTGATAAATGACAAATTAAAAGAGGAAGAATAATTTTCAGCCAAAATAAGCTAAGTGTATTTCCTGTTTTGTACTATTAAGAACATGAAAATAGAACTTTTTATTGGGAATCAGAAGATGTTAATTGTTCCTGATTGTATTTGCCTTAGTCTATATTTTAAAAGGTTTTTCAATAAATGCCATCAAAGAAGTTTCACTATATATTTGCTCGAGAAGCATAAAGTGACAAGAGGCAGGTGTTAATAGAATTGTTAATATTCACGCCGCAGAAAGATTAGTAACTTTTAAAAAGACACACTAGGAATAAAGCCAGGTCTTCCCGAGAGACAGCTGAGTTCTCCTTCTTGTCACTCAGCTGTTGATGAAGATCTACTGGGTGCCTAACACAGTTCTAGAAGCTATTCTATAAATGGGAATCCATTTCTGGCTTTACTTGAAAATGGTTGGATTAATTCCTTTTTATGGTAAATTGTGATATGCATTTCAAAATCTCTATGACAGAGGAGTAATTATTAACTTTTTCCATGTTTAGAAACTAAGCTTTCATTCTTATAGTGGTGGCTTGGAATGAACAAAACTTTTCATGACATAAAACTTTTTTACACTGTCACGTGCAGACATATCTGCAGATATTTAAGGGTGAAAAGATAGCAAGACTTTTCACTTAAATGTACATAGTGGTCAACTTCACATCGTCACACTCCTGTCTTCCTGATTTTGCAGAGAACTTTGTGCCTTGTGATTAACAGGATCTTTTGAGACAAATTGTCGCTTTCTTAGATGGCATCAAAAGTTTGCTCTCATTAAATATTGCTACATAAAGCACTTCGGTTTTCTTCTGCAATTCAGGTGTTTTCAAATGTATTCAGGATCTGAAGCAAAAGAAATAACACACTGAGATAGATCCTGAGATCATCAATCCTGTGATTTTTTTTTTTTTTAGTCCCATTTAACTCCTCTCATGAAACACATATGGTGTTTCCAGGGTCTGTGTTTTCCACAAATAATCAAACACTGGAGATATTTCATGACAACTCCTTTACTCTAGTTTTTGTCAAGGGGATTGATGACAGTCTACTTGTAATAACCAGTTGGGAAATACAAAAGTAGCAGACTTTTTTTTTTTTAACTACAGTAAATACTAATCCTGTCATTAATGGGTAAACCCAATAGTAGAAAGACACTAGAGAGATCCAGGAAGAGATAATGCACTGATCACTGGAATACAGTGGACCAAAGAATACTACCAAAAAACATTTATGACAAGATAGTTGTGACTTAAAAAGTCACCTAAAACCTGGCCACACTAGAAGGTTTTCTAAGAATGTGGCTCTTACTGTAACTATGAATATATGGAGAGTCCAAAAAAAAAAAAAAATCCTGATTCCTGATACAACAGATATAGAATGAATTATTGCAGTTATAACAATGACTAGGTGCAAGGTTAAACAATAATTAATACTGAGCTATCCAAACACTTTAGATTTACTAGTGTGCATCCCCATGAGAAACACTGCGGTGCTAAAAGGAGTTTATTTGCACAGCCCACCATGGAACATGGACAATCAGCTCACTGTAAGTGCACAGGAAGTTCCCCTTTCTACAGGAATAGTTTATCATGCCTATTCTGAAGACAACATAAGGAAACTGAGATCACTGCTCCAAAGAATTCTAGCATGCATTAGGATGGTTTCCTTCAGTCCATACAAATGGATCATATGAGTTTTTTTTTTCATTTATGATAATCTCCACCAGAGCCAACGTTCATGGTTTTAACAGGAAAAATTTTTATCAAAATGTTTTCCATATTTTTTTTGTTTTGCATTCAACTGGAACTTTATGTTCAAAGATTCATTTTATTTGTTTTATTAAAAAAGAGTCTGATCATAAGAAGCATCAATAGATGGCATTTCATTGTGCTCATTCACAAAGTCAAAGGCCACAGAGTCTTCCTCAGTGAATAGGTCGGACTCTGTCTAGAAATGCCGTTGGCTGTTTTGATTCACATCCTCAACTTTGAAAGCTTTATTATTATCATTATCATTATTATTATTACTTCCAAACTTCTTGATTTGCCGTCTTAATTTGCAAAAAATGGTTATTATTTCTTCTTTCTTCTACTTGAGATTTTTTTCCATAGTCAGGACTCCAATTCTCTTAGACCTGTGCCGACTGTCTTACAAAGCAGACACCCTGACGATGTTTCCTCCCGAGTACTCCGGAGACTCTGGCCTGTCATCACCTTCTGGTGTGGTTACCGGAGGTGTTGGGATGCTTATTATTGCTGTGGTCACGTAAGGTTGTTCACAGTTTAGTTTAACGCACTCTTCCATTTTGGCATTTAAGCTGGATCGGCTGATGAGGGAGAAAAGTAGGTTGGAACAGATAAGCTATTTATTTAAAGTTTCTATCTTTTAACTGAATGATATATAGTCTACTAGTAATAAATGACATTGAAAATATATAAGCAAAACTATATCTATTACAATTTAAATATATAATATGTTAAATGTTAGTTAATTGACATGAATTATTCCATAGAGTCATGCTCACCTTAGTTCAATCAATTGTTTCTCAAAGTGTATTCTATGCAAATATAAAGAAAAGGGCTCAGATAACAGCTACACATCTGAGATAAGCAAAGTGAAATATAATTTTCCTTGGCGGCAACTTTGAAAGGCTTAAGGTACCAGCATGGAATGCCATTCAATGAAGATTTTGTAACATTTCTTGTTATAAAATCATTGGGATGATGTTTTTCTGAAATGTCTAGTTACTTGAAAGTACCCCACTTAATAATGGTCATATGTTAAGAACATCAAAATACTAGCTCTACATATCTAAACCCTGAAGTTTTCTACAAGAGATAGCCTTGTCACAAACTTCCCATGAGGACAAGGAGGAGGGAGGAACAGGGAGTATTATGTCGGGTTTCTCCGTGGTCACTCTCCACTGATCTGCTGACTCACCAATTCCAGGGAGTCTAGCCACCAACTTGTCCCCAGGATTGTCTGTCTCTGCCTCCCAAGTGATGGGATTATATGCATGTGCAATGTATGACTGGCTTGAGTTGAATTCTAGGGGAATTCAAGTCCTTAGGCTTCCATGGAAATCAATTTATCCAAGGAGTCACATCCACTGCCTCCTAATGCAACTTTTGACACTTAATGGGTATGTTTTTTCTTTTGTTTTGTTTTGTTTCCCTTGTTTCCCAGCAACTAAACTTAGAGGCCATATTGGTCATACCATGATTGTAGCAGACATGGTCTATGAACCAGGACAGGCATTTACATCTTACAGATCAATCCCAGGTACCTGTTCGATAACGGCGTTCTCTCCACACATCTGATCTGAATTGTACTGAGTTCTTGCACACTGCCTCTATGACTTCCTGACACGTTGGCATTAGGAATGCGGAAAGTTTTTTTGTGTCGCCGTGAGCAGCAAGTGCTGGTGACCCCTTGTTGTGAGGACATGGAGGGACTGTGACTTGAAGGACGATTAACTGTGGCAACTTCCATGCAGCTTTCTTCAAAGACTTGCTCATCCACAAACTCATGATTCTGTGTGAGAGTTGTAGGAAAATGTGAAGAAAGCAGATAATTTAAAAAAGATTAAATGTAATTATTTAAAAACTTCAAATATATTAAGATTTGGTTAGACTTGATCGAATAGCTAAGTAAGGGAACTTTTTTTGTGGAAAAGAGTCTTTCTAGCTAGGTCTAGAGGTTGACATATACAAGATGCAAGCTGACGCAGTGTTTATTTACAGGCCATTTTTTTAAAAAAAAATATCACTCTTAATAACTTAAGTATAAAATCAGGATGTTATAAACTACAAAAACAAAACTCTTATATGAATATAAATAATATCTGCAAGGAATTTATGAACTCATAGTGACTTTATTGAGCAGACTAATCTTATAAAATGAGATTAATGCAATTGAATGTCTTATGTTAGATGGTCTACTATATATTAGCAAATATCTTCATGTGTTATAGGAACATTTTTCATTAGAAACTTAGAAGTCTCATGGAATTTTCATTTTTCTTGATGCTCCCCTAAAATTCTCAATATATAGAAAACTATAATTTTTAAATAAAGAATATAATATATGTACTTATCTCCCAAGAGATTCGTCCCTATCTTTTGTGGTTTCTTTTCTTATCTCTAGTGGTCACCTCTATATACCTAACTCTCCACTTAGACAAACAGTAAGGTGCATCATTTCCCATACCACACTTACAGACCACACATGAATTTTAATTTAAAAATAGGAAAGAATTACCTCCTGAAATGCCTACATAAGAATTTGGCCTCAGAAATGCAGGAGCAAACATTCTTTACCATGAATTACTGAAGAATGACTTCAATTACTATTTTATCTCCGTGTGTGTAGAAATAGCCTCATAATGAAAGGCTTCGCACATTTTGGGTTTCACTTAACCATCTCTCATCCTAAAATATTAGTAAAACAACTGAAGCAATTCATGGCCTAATGGGAAATAGATTGTTTTAGTTACTCGTTTTGCCATTTCTTTGCTGAGAGTAGCACTTTGAAGCACGTAGAATTCCACATTCTACTGTTCTGAGTTCAGAGGACAATGATTAGGAGACAGAATTTCATGTTAGCTTTTGTTGTACAAAGGATTCGTGATCTGTGTTTTTCTCTTACAGTGCACAGCAACACACATGTTAACAGTCAGAACACATAGCAGTCAGACTTAGATCATTAGGGACTGGAATTAAAGAAGCAGATCTGCCTTTGGTTGCTGTGTAGTTTTCTATGTAGCTCAAACTAAACACTATTTCTTGAGGTTAAAGACTTTTTTTTTTTTTTATTAGAAATATCGGGGGTAAAATAGTGGAAAAGAAAAGACATGAGGGGTAAATAAATCTGTCTTTAATCTATCATATTAACAATATCATGTAACTACCCTAATGAAATGTAAATTTTCCACTTATCCGGAGATAATCATCACCTATCTATCTGGACAACACAGGACCTGGTTACTGTCTTTCCTGTGGCATCTTCCTGTACTTCCTGATGACCGTCAGATTCTTTTTCTGCCTCCTAGTCTATTTGTCTGCTCTCTTTCTGTACTGACATCATGTGTTAGCCTGAGCCTTTCATGACTGAGCTATCTCTCCTGCATCTACATTGTCTTTTATGTCTTTGCATAATTCCAAATTCACCTGTATCTCTCACCCCTGCCCCCAAACAAAGAAGAGGCACACAGGAAGGATTTCTTGAGCCTGTCTACTCAGGGCTCCTCATTGCTTCACCCTGCACCTCCCCCCACCACCCCCCTCCTGCCATGCTTATGCTGCTCATTACCCTTCCCAGGTAAAGTCCTCTTTCCTGTTTTGCTATCAACAGAGTCTTGATGGTAGTGGAGTTCATACTGGTTTTGCAGTATTTTGGATCTGGCTCACAGACAGGCAAGTGATACAGATTTGCTGAATGACTATCTGAATTAACAAGCTGATGGAAAATATGTTAGAATTTAGTTTACAACATATCACTGGTGAGTAAGCTGGCCTGACTCATACATGATAAATACTTCATTCTACTTCGCGGTCACAGACAGTGATGTCCATGGACATCTAGCTTAATAATGGGTGACTTTGCTTTGGGAGAATTCTCACTGATAGCATGCAAGTGAGGGGACAGAGTCTTCTTTGTATCTAGGGACACTCTGTGATTAACATTTTATTGCGCTAAAGAGATAATTTTAAAATATCTATCTCTATTCATTATACCTGTGAATAAAAGAAACATGTGCTATCTTATCCTTTCTCTCCTTTTTCATGACAGCTTTGAGAGTTTCATGTAGATGTGAGGACACTTGACATTTTATTTATTTTCTTCCTGTTTAAATCATTTTACAAACAGAGAAGAAACAGTCTTTCATTATTTGTATCTAAATTCATCTGGTGTCTTGGATGGGAGTTAATGCAGCTACTTAGGGTCCAGCATCTATAATGATTAGAGCAATTTTCGAGCTGAATCAATTCCTGTGAAATTTTCTGTATCCCTGATTTTTTTTTTTTTTTTAGCATGTTTTCGAGGGATGCAGAGAGTCAGATCCTGCTTGGACAGGTCATGGTTGCACAGAATTGAACAGGGTACAAGGCTGCAGCTTCGCTCTTCTCTTCTTACCGTAGTTTTCTCCAGGCAGTGAAGCAGGTGGTGGTGTTGTGTCTCAAAGCTGGATCCTGATTTGCTAACGAAGGCTGGTTCATCCTCTGAAGACTGTAACACAGTGAAAACAAACTTCCTTTTAATTTGCAAGCTGGGAGATCTGGGCTACCCATGTGCACAGATTCCTGGCCTGGTTTCTGAGACTAACTGGTGGCGCTTTACTCACTAAAAAAGGACAAATGTGTAATTAAGTCTGGGTGATCAGCGGGTACATTTTCATTTGGTCTTTTAAGACTATACGTCCTTCAGCTACTAGATGAGGGCTCTATGATGGTGGGTAAGTTAGTTATCGATCTCATTATCAGGGAAGGGCATTTAAGGTAGCCTCTCCACTGTTGCTCAGATTGTTAGTTGGGGTCATCCTTGTAGGTGTCTGGATATTTCTCTAGAGTCAGTTTTCTTTTCAAACTTATAATGGCTCCCTCTATTATGGTATCTTTTTTTTTGGGGGGGGGAGCAGACATCCACAGCTAAACACTGAGCCAAACACCTGGGATCTAAATGTAGAGAGGGAGGAGTGATAAGAAAAGGGGTCAAGCCCAGGCTACAGAAACCCACAGAGACAGCAGACCTGAACAAGGGGGAGCTCGTGGACCCTCAGACTGATAGCTGGGAATCCAGCATTGTACCGACTCAGACCCCCTGAACATGGGTCTCAGTTAGACTGCCTCGGCAGTCTAAGGGACCTCAGACAGTGGAACCAGGAGGTATCCCTGGTGCACGAAAGGACTTTGGGAGCACATTCCCCATGGAGGGATACTCCCTTAACCTAGAGGCGGGGATGTAGTGGGGTAGGGGTGTAGGGGGAGGGCCCAGACCCTACTCCAAATGACTTGACAGATTTTGATGATCCCTCCTGGAAGGCATCACCCTCCCTGTGGAGTGGGAGGAGGGGAGGGAATGGGATGGGATGGGAGGTTGGGGGGCATGGGAGGGAGGGAGAGGGAACTGGGATCGATATGTAAAATAAGACTACACAGCCTTGACTTGAAGATTCAACTCCCTATTAGAGTAAGTTCATCAAGAGTTTATCAAGTTCTCCTTTATCATGTGGCCTTTGTAACACTTACTGAATGCTGTTCTCTCTCCATCTGAAGTAGAGAATGGTATCATGTCTCACTCCAGACCCCTATCAAAGTGCACTTAAAGGGACATACATAATTTTGAGATAAAATTAAGTATGTGAAAGGTTGATGGCTTTTTATGTCACCCATGTCACAGTGGATAGGGTGCCAGTGGGCAGCGTGGAGCTGGCATTCCTTACTGGAAACAGAAATCATGACCACTGGCAATATCTTTTAGCACAGTGTCTAGGTTGCTACTGACAACTACAATGGGCAGTGGAAAAATGGCATCCTGTTGTTGCACTAGTCATTTTCATAAGTACCCGCAATAAAATCATATGGTTAAATGGAGCTGAATCAATGTCACACTGGTGGGCCCACGATTACAAAGAAGCGAAGGGCGTGGCTATACCTGCAACTGGTTGCTGAGTAACCCGTTCCGTTTGCTCTGCATGTACGCATTTGCGCTTCCACTTTTAGCTGCCCGGATCCTGGCCAGCCTCGCTTTCTACAGGAGAGAAAGAAACCAAGCCATCCTGTGAACGAACACTCAGGAAGTCTGTTTATAAGTCAGAAGTGAACTCTTTCAAAATAAATTATTATTCCTTATTACAGCGTGTATGATGTGTGTGGGGTCCATGCCACAGCCCGCACATGTGGAAGACAGAGGACAGCTCTGAGGGACAGGTCTCTCTCATCCTGTTTTCTGAATTTTAAAACCAGGTCTTGGGATACAAAGTCTTTACCCGCTGAGCCATGGTCCTGGCCTGGAGAAAGTGTGTTCTGTGCAATCCTATGGCCAACAGACAGATTTTTACAAGCAAGCCAGCTTTGCGGATGGGAGGATTGGAAACTGTTCCCCCAGTGCTGAGTGCTTTCTTATTAACTGTCTTGGAGCTGGCTAATGCACTTCAGAGTTGGGATTAATCTTTACAGTAAGATCAAATTATTTTGCTATTCTTTCAATTTTGCCAGGAGCAAAATAACAGTATCGCTAGACTAATATTTATACTTTGACCTGAGCAACATAATAAAGTGGAAGCCACAGGCCAGCAAAGCAGCTGTCAATTCTTGTTCCTGTCACTTGTTTCTTTTTTTAAAAATTAGTGACTTGTTTCCAGGAATCAGTTAAGATTTTCCCTCCTCCTTCTCTACCATGGGCTCATTTACTTCTCTACACCCCCTGTCTTTTCCTTTATTATTTCTCTTTCTTTCCCTACTATCTTCCCTTACCCTCTCTTACCCCTTCTTCCCTGCCGCCCTCCCCTCTCCCTTCCTTTTCCCTCTCCCTCTCTTTACCCCCTCCTTCACTCACCATCTTTTTCTAAATTCGCTGCTCCCCAGCACCGGCAGACCCTAACTCGATTGTTTTATTTACAGCTGTGCTGTTAAACTGATCAAAGGAGAGCCCATGATGGGTAACACATGACCTTAAAAGCCTCAAATTTGGGTCTGTACATTGGTATTTCATTTGATTTCTATTTCACTCTTGAATCTGTGGAGATGTACAATGCAGTGAGTCTATCCAAATGGATTTCTAAGATTCCTTAAACTTTCAAAGCATTTTCCATAGACTGCTTTTCTGTTTGGAGAATTTCAGGTGGGTCCCAGTTCCAATTAGGTCATCAGTGCAGTTACCTAGCACAACAACTTGTGATTAGCTTTCCAGTGTATATTATATTTTCTGTGCCATTTCTGCCACATGGCTACCCTCTGACTACCATGGGAGGTGTCTACTTCCCACCCTGGACAGCACATTCTGGAGACCACTCTTTATGACTCATGGGTAACAAGCTTATGCAACAAAGCAAATGTGATGACTTGGTCAAGATGTGTCTTGCAAACTCCCTCTAAGAATCCCACCGTTCCTTTTATGAACAATCATAAGCACACCACCCCTTAGTCTCAAGCTTTAGAATGCTCTTTTGGGTAAGAACTCAAAAATTATTTCCATTCTAAAAATAGAAGAGAAATGTGCGCCTATAAAAACATATACAAGGCAAGTACTCTGGCCTAAGGCCATTTTCTCCTTATGCTCTGTAGCCAGGGGCTGGTGTTTGTCCTGTCAGAAACTAAGTACATGCATGTGCACATTTTAACATAGCTGGAAGAAAACATCTCACACTCTTCTGTAGTTTAATTTCTATACCTGGGAACTTCATCTACACACACACATAGATTACTATAGATTTTATGGCTGTATGATATGCCACTGTTGAAGTGAAGCATGACTTATTTTGTCAACTGCTGATTAATTTGTTTCATAAGTATTGAGAACTAAAGCCAGGGTTTTATGCATGTGGGAGGGGCAAGCACTCTACTGCTGACTAATATACCAAGTCTTTTCTGTTTTTTAATTTGACAGAGAACATAAAGGGTGTGGTGCATGGAAGGCTGGAGGGCAGGCACATGAGAGTAGGAGGGAAATGATGTAATCATGTTCAAATCCCTTGAAGCTGAAATTGAACCACTTGATTGGAATAGTAGAACTTGAACTCTGGTCCTCAGGAAGAGCAGCAAGCATTAACTGCAGATCCATCTTTTCAGTCACTGAGTTTTATTTAATACTGCTGAGGAAGTTTTTTTTTTTTGCTAAGTGATGGAGGCTAGCCCTGAACTGGTGAACTTGCTTCAGGCTCCTGAGGAGCTGGAATCACAGCACAGTCATGTTTCAGCACAATTAACTTTTATTTGTTGCTGCTGTTTTGAGAGAGGCTCTTATGAAAGTCAGATTGGCCTTGAATATATTTAATAGCTGATGCTGGCTATTGGAATGCCTTGCTGGCAGGTCAGCTGGCAATCTGTCAATCTGCCATGGCTTGGTGGTTTTTTTTTTTTTTTTTTTTTTTTTTTACAAAAGCTTAACAACATGGAGACTCCCTCCCCAGAGACACTTCCTGCCTCTACCTGCCCTTATCTAGAGAATGTCCTTGGGCCTGGAGGACTGATCTTATCTAAAACTGTCTCTAAGCCTGTTTCCTGATTTATCTTTAGTTTGAACCTTCGCACAGATTCCTGCTAGAAGACTTGTGCTAGGAGATCCTATGAAGGACCCTAATACATACAGCCTTGTGGATGAAAGTTTCACTTAATGCAAACTGGGTTTTGTCCCAGGCTCCCCAATCCTATACATTCCTTATACTCTGGAATAAAGTTGAACTGATTCACTGAAGTCTGTCTCTAGGGGGACTGTCCCCATCATTCCCACAGCCCTCCAGACCCTGTTCCCCATTTCTGCTCTCTCCACTCTCACGGAGCTGGAGGGAAAAGCAGAGCCTCAGCCACCTCAAGGTTGTCACTGAATTCCATAGCCTCTTGCCTCCGATTCTCAAGTTCTGGGAGGCATGTGTCATCAATCAAAAACGTAAAGCAGCCACTGCCATAGCAAGCAAGGTCTCCTGCTTTGAGCATCTTGGTGACAAGTTTCAGAGAACAGACTTGTTTTTTGTATCAGAGGTGTGCCTCACTGTGCGTGTGCTTGTGTGTGTGTGTGTGTGTGTTGGTAGGTTTTATAGAATTCCCTTGTGTGTGTGTGTGTGTGTGTGTGTGTGTGTGTGTGTGTGTTGGTAGTTTATGGAGTTCCCCATTTCATCCACTCCTTTGCGAGCAGCGTTGAGCTGTCTCAAACACCGTTTATCCTCATGACTCCAGTTCTGCTCTTTCTTCCTGTACCCTTAAGTTTGTGCCTTATGTGTGTCGACTCCATCTTAGCATAATGTACCGTATCACGATCATTTTTTGTGTGCGATGGGAAAGTTGAGAAATCTTACTTTTGTTGTCAGTGTGATACTTAGATCACTGAAAACATTTAGCCAGTGCTGGAGAGTCACAGTTACGCTGGCAGGTAGGAAGAAAACCTTTATCTTCTAAAGCTGTGAATCGGGACTAGGTTTTCAGGCCAGACTCAACAAAACAATGGCATTGACAAGCACTCTGGGAAATGACCTAGAATTACCCCAATCATCAAGCAAGCAATGTACCTATTGAATTCCAGACAGTGCATATCGTGATTTCAGTCCCTTCAGCTATTCAAACATCCCTGGCCTTATGCGCCCCGCCTTCTTACTTACGTTCCCTGGCTGCTTCATACCCTCCCTTTTCCATCTCCTGAATTTCTTTGCTTCTCTCTCTCCCTCCCTTTCCCCCTCCCCTCCCTCCATTCATACTATCTTGCGTATTGCATTTCCTATATTGCAGTTATTTCTCTCTCGCCTATGGTATTCTCTAAGCATAAGGCAGCAACACTGAGTGACGTTTTTTCCTTTGAGACATGTACCATAACTGCTGTCCACCACAGAAGAATGACTTACCTTTTATCATATGATACCAATTCTATAAATGGTATCAACTGCTAATACAGATAGAGTCTTAACCATCTGCACAATATTTTTTTTTTAAAGGCAGAATGGCCATTTTTGTTAAGCCATGTACTGTATTAGTAAAAGATCCACCCATCCACCTGTTGTAATTTCATCTATAACTTTTCTTTCAGTTTGCCGCAATACTGTGAGTTAATTGGCTTAATTCATCCTGGGGTGCACCATACCAAATACCTGTTGAAGTCTAGTCCTCACCATCTGTGATTATAGCTTTGGTTCCAGCTGGTAATTGAAGGAGATTATTTTACAAAGTTGTTTCAGACACTCACTTTTCCTGTGACCTACTCAGTATGACAGTCATGGCAATACTGGCTGTGTAATGAGAGGTTAAGAGAGAACAGTCCTTTCAATCCCCTACTTGTGCTCTCTAGAAAATAGCAGCTTCTTGCAGTAGCAAAGTACTAGCCGTGAGAATGCAAATTAGGATGAGACCTTAGAAAATGTTTTGAACCATAGTGTTATTGAATCAAAAAAAAAAAATATTTCCAATACTTTGGAAAAAATGACAGATTCCCAGGCAAGCAAGTGATTGAGAGAATGTCTCTCTTCTTACTAATCGGAGACAATTCATCACTCCTCAAATACTGGCCCCCACATTTCCTGCCTAACACATTTATTCCAGACATCATACTACAGTTTGTTTATTTCATTCAACTCTCAACTGTTCCATGTAGACAGAGCATATAAAGCTTTGTCAACTTTGAAGGCCTGAAGGGGTTGATTATATTACTTCCATTTGCTAAGGAAAATAGCTGCCTTAGAAATGAAACAAGCCAAAGCCACCCAGGATGGGAGTGGAAGACAGTGTCTTAGACCCTGTGCTATTCCCTGGCCTGAAGTGCGGGTCATCAGGGAGAGCTGGCATTGGCAGGCACAGTGCTGGGATTTTAGCTCAGTGGAAGGAATGAGTGGAATGAGCAAGTCAACAATAGGCCTCACAGCCAAGAGAGGTAAACATGGAAACGTGTAAGAGGGCATCAGAGGCCAGGCCATCCGCATGTAAAAGATATATTAACATTCTAATATATGTGGACATTCAAATTACACACACACACACACACACACACACATGAATAATGCTAAAGGTTTCTGGCCTTGGGATTAAACCAATGTGTGTGACCACATGAAAGGCTCCTGCAAAACTGAAATAATGATATAACCCTTGCAAGTGATTATGAAGACGATGACACATTAAAATCACCCATGGCATACTAGAAACTCTGGATAGAGACAGTTGTTTCAGAATTATTAAATCATCATTATTATGCGGTAAATTCAGGTTAGCTTTGTATAGGCAAATGGCTATATAGTCTCATTCATATTTTAAGACTTACTTATTTAGTTTGTAAACAGTGTTCTGTCTACAGGCTAGAAGAGGGCACAAGATTTCATTATGGATGATTGTGAGCCACCGTGCGGTTGCTGGGAATTGAACTCAGGACCTCTGGAAGAGCAGCCAGTGCTCTTAACCTCTGAGCCATCTCTCCAGCTCCACTCATTCATATTTTAAAACACGATAGCTTCTTGCTTCAAAATATCACCCTCATGATCTAGTAGCCTACCAATTAAGATTTACTCTTGGCAGATAAACTCTATTTAGTAAGTGATTTTTGAAAGACTGGATGAAAATTAAACCCAGTAAGATGCAATTGCCAGTAACTGGGGTAGAAGAGACTATCACAGCTGAGGCCTGTCTTCATCCCCAAGTCAATGTTAAGTAAAGACTATCAAGGGATGAGAAGAGTTTTCTTAAAGGGTTGCAATGTGTAGGAAAAACAGAAAGAGCACTTGATATGTGGAAGGGCCTAGAAGGAAAATCTAACAGCACTGACAGGAAACCTCTCTCACACATGCAGTGTATGTTTCCTGCCTTGTTTAAGTTTGGAGCTGGCCACAGGTCCAAACACAGAAAACAACAATTTCATAATATTATTTTAATTGGTTCATTTGAGTGTTGCTGTTATTGAATTGTTACTGAGTAGAGAACTTGCTTAGCTGAATTAATATTTCTTGTGCACCTGTGATACCTGTTAAGTCACCGAGGCTCCAGGCACAGATTGATATAAATCGTCTCAGTCTAATGGAAGTTTAGTCTGTTTTGTTTTCAGTCTCTCAGGATAGAAAGTAGGAAACACTCCTTGGTAACCTATTTTATTTAATATAAATGTTCTTCCTGAGATTATGCCCATTTTTTCTACTGGACACACTAGATTATGTTATTATATTTGGCTTTATTAAGACTGTTTGTCTAGTAGTCACATGCAAAATTCATTACACTGTGGCAGTAGTTTAGGATATAAACAATAGTTTGAAAATACTGAAGATAACATTCATGAAGTACACTTTTCAATTACTGTGCTTTATAGCATCACATTTATTCAGTTTTGGTCTTTAAATTTATTTAGGTACAAAAAATTCCAGGCATTTTCCTGGTTTTTGTAACTGGTCCCATCATGGCATTATGGCATTACAACATGCTTGTTAGCAAGTGATAGCATCAGTAAAGTATAACCTCTCACCAGGTAGCCCTTGAATAAATGCCCTTGAGCTCTCATGTAGGTACAGGGTACATTCTGCAGAGATCTCGTTTATGTCGGGCATCAGAGCATGCTTTCTTTCAACCTAGAAGTGTAGCTTTAAGGAAATTCTAGTGTTGTAAAGGGGTATTCTCAGATTGATGTTCTTTGCCAAAGAGAGAGAGAGAGAGAGAGAGAGAGAGAGAGAGAGAGAGAGAGAGAGAGAGAGAGATTTGTGCTTCCGTTTGTTTGTTTTTAAGTCGTTCTTATGTTAACAAAAGGCCTAGAATGGAGACAGGTAAATAAATGGTCGAGTTAAGCTCTTTGGGGGATGACCACTATTTCAGACAGTGTCCATGAGTGAGTGTCCTATAGAGGGCTTTTACTGTGTGGGTAGAGCCACATGAAAGGTCCCTTGTAGAGGAGCCTGATGCTAGTCCTTAGAGCTCTGCTTGTCCAAATGTGTCCTGCAAGAGATGGGAACAGAGGCAGTGCCTGACTGTCTTGCTCCTTTCCTACTTCTTTCTCTTTCTTAACATTTCTAGCCTAGTCGATTATTAGAAATCCCCATAAACGTCGTCTGAATAATTTATTGCTGCTCTGCATAATAATTTAAAGCTGGATATTTGTTCACCAATGGGGGAGGAATTCCTTAAAGCAAGCAGCTCTAAGGCTGACCAAGCTGAAGGAAAAATGCTCTCTGATACTGTACATAAATGAAGTCTCAGCAGAATGTGCCTGTCCCTACAAGGAATACTGAAATTATCCATGGGTTTCTTTCTGAGTTTGTACTGGTGCTACACATGGCTGGCCACCACGTTTAAACTGCATGCTGGAACTAGTCCCAAAGCAAGGGGTTCATTGAATTGCTGGTGATGTCTTGCAGGCACACCGAATTATCTAGGTTTTGCACCAAATGAAATATAGTTATGAGTAAAGCTTGAACATTTTAAAAATGATGCTTTCTGGGAAGGAGAGCAAGGCAATGGCCATGAAGAATACTGGAAATGTAGTACTGTTAAGTACAGAGAGAGCCCTAAGAAAGATTTTCAAAGTGGTTTCTAAGCCAAAGGGACTCTGTCTATCAAGGCGACTATTCTGATGTAGAATGAGGGAGGCACATGCACTAACATGCATCCAGTTTTGCTGAGAAGCAGAAAAACTATTTATTAATTGTTTTTATTAAAATTAGATTTCTAAATCGGATTTACATGGTGTCTCAATAATTAGTTCGAAGATGGTTCCAACAGAAAGGGATTACCAAAGGGCACCCAACTATGTCTCAGATGTTCTTCTGAATTGACACAGGAAATAGGAAATAGCTGAGTTTTGCCCTTCTACATGAGCTCAGACTGGATTACAATGAATGGTTGCGCTTCAATTTCTTAGTTATATCATTTTAGAATGACTTGATTCCTGGAAACTTTAGGATTCCCAGCCATTAATTGGGCAGAATGATGGCAACCAAATCTTAGAGTTTGGTGAAGACTATATATAATGTTTTGAACATTATACCATTGCCTGAACCATAGGAATTCATCAGTAAACTTTAAATGTTGCTAATTATAAGTTACTATAAGTTACTCTCTGTTTACACAGACTTACATACTTCTGCATATCATCATAATCTTGTTTCCCCATGTTACATACAAGTATATACTCGGATTATTTTTAGAAGGATTCAATAATTGGCACAAAGTTCACAGATACAGGAAAGTACTAGATCAGGAAAATAACAACAAACCAAAATAAATAAATAAATAAATAAATAAATAAATAAATAAATAAATAAAAAGAAACAAACTTAGGTACAAATGTAGTGAGATAGTTCTGTGGCACTGACCACGCCCATTGGGGGGTGGAGCCATGGGCGGAGTGACCTGTGGAAGGAGGTCGGAGGGGGCCAGGAAAGGCGCTCTTTTTCTGGCGTGATGCTGAGAGTTTTCCTACTTCCTGTCTCAAGTGAGCAAAATAACTGAGACACAAAGCTTCGTTCTCATTCACAGCCATTTCTTATTGGGACCAGTCTGATCTCTGATGATTAAAAGAATCAGATCTAGAAATCAGATTTTAATGATAATTCTTAAGCGTATGTATCTGAACACATGATTATTAACTGTTCACAATTCCTCCTTACTTGTCACCTCCTGCCCCATTGCAGCCATTCTCTGCCCACTGTTACCCTAAAGGCGGCTGTGCCACCCGCTTTGGCTAAGGCAGCAGAGGCACCAGGGTCTGAGGCTGCTTCAAGAAAGACCATGGGTGGGGGCAGAGTGTGATTAATCATGCCTATGACTGTAGAGGTGCTGTATAGGAGTATCCATCTCTAGACTGATAATGGATCAATGGCATCATGAACTACATCTATTCACATTAGTGAAAACACAGTACCTTGCTTTAAGACGCTGAGATGCTAGGTTCTTTTCATCATTAACCTAGTGCTGAATGAATGGTGAGGATTTTGAAGATCATCATAGAAAAGTGGTGGGCAGTAATTCATGCATTCACAGAGCCGAATGCCTACCTTCTGTGCCCTTCGTTTGTCTGCTCGTTGGTTCTGGTGGTAGATCCGACTGAAGTTGGACACGATCACAGGTACGGGTAGCGCAATGACCAGCACTCCACTCAGTGAGCAGATGGAACCAAAAATCTTCCCTGCTATGGTTTTTGGTACCATGTCACCATACCTGGGTCAGAGGAAAAATAGTTGTCATAAGTCATGGGCAACACTTCTGCCTGTTTCAAATAGTCTCTCTCTCTCTTTGTTTAGCTTTAGGTAAAATGATTCTTGGGAAATATCTATATTTCTATTCATGACTACAATATGCAAGGTGTCAAACTAATAAGTGAGAAATTATGAATATAGACTCTCAAACATTACCTTCCAACCTTGTAGAAAATGATAACATTGAGAAACCTCTCAGACTAGAAAGTATTTAAAGCCCAATGATGTCATGATAGCTCTTCAATTTGCCTTTTATATAATGTGGCATAGTGGCATAGATTTTTTACATTTTAATAGCCAATATTTCTATGCTGGAATTTATAGTCTAGATGACACACTTTTCCACTTAATTCTTTCAGCCCTGGATGGGTGATGAAACTTAAGCAGGAAAAGTAGGACATCACATCACATGGCTTTCATCTGGTCCAATCATTTTAAAAGCAAACTTTGCAAGATTCCCATTAACCTTCACTTGTGATGTCTGATGGCCATGTCTCATGATAACCTTACCCTGTCTTGTGCTTGTGTAAGACAGTTGACTGTTCTTTGAAACACTTTGTTTTTGCTTCAGCATTAGTCACCTTCTTACCTCACTGGGAGCTACTTTCTCTTCTTTTCTGGCTTCTTTCCCTTTATCTTGTTTCTAAAGTTTTGTATAATTCATATCTCAGTTTTGAATCCTCATACCTTGTACTATGAATTCAATTAATGCCATAATTTAAATATAGTTTTCAGTAAAAGATACCCTAATTCGCACTGACATCCTCGATGGATGACTCTTCCATATGAGAGATGCCTACTTTCAGTGGTCTGGTCTGATTATTTCTAAACCTGGACACCCAAAAGCCAACAGAACCTTAAACTAGCTTCTGCTAGTTTCACAGTTTGCTATCTATAATTAACAAAATGTTCCTACCCTGACTCCACCAGATTCTTAAACCAATACTGACTGAGCTACACTGCTGCCTTTATAGTTACACCTCATCTATCAGTTATTCTTTTAATCTCTAAGACATTAAAAATAAAAAACCATGTAGGTCTCTTTACTCAACTTCCCCTTGACCACAAACCATTGAGCAATGCAATTTAGCCACACTTCCTACATTTACCACACTACAATTCATGGACTGTGCTTTTAAAATAGAAATCGGCCAGCTGAAATTTTATTTCAGCTTTCCAAAGGTGTTGGATCTAAAACAGATTGAAATTTATCTCCTTTGTCTCCAGATGATGATAATACAGTGACTACTTGGTGACTAGATACTCGCCTCTGCTCTACTCCCTGCCCTGTGAACACACTGGCCATTTGACCTTCTGCTTTGTGTGTAGTCTCAGGCCATTTACTAGGTGGCCCTTCAATGTCTTCATTCCAAAAGCAATTTCCCATTCACCTTGTCCACAGAATTCCTATTCCCTTCTTGAGTCATGTTCCATAACAACTTCCCAATTTAGTTACTTTCATAGTTCTTATCCACACATGACATAATATTTATTTTTTTATTCTTGTTTTTGATTGCTGGGGATTGAACCCAGTGCACTGAACATGCTAGTCAGGGGGTATATCACTGAGCTGTGTCTCTAGTCTGATATTGTCTCTTTACTTTTCATTCTTCATAAAATAAAGTTGACAGTGTAGGAGTGTTTAGCTTTGTCTTCCTAGCATGAAGCAGGCTCTTGCCATATATCAGCTAAATGCATACACTGTCTTCTTCTTTAACAATAGAGGTTGTACAAGGCTTCATTCCTGGGAAAGAATACTGCATTTTCAGGTATTTATTAGGAAATTATCACCCTTATTAACATGGTTCTTGTGTGAAAACATTTTTGTGTTAACTTGACAAGGGGAGTTGTAGACAAATTGGAAAGGATGGGTAAGTGACAATGACAGATGGGATGCTAACCAGCCAGCACTGCCTTTGAGGATCCCACTGTGACTCTGCTCCACACTTTGAGTCTCCAGTTGTTCAAGCTTAGTGTTTGTGGCTGATCAGTAGTCAAGCTACTTCCCCATAACTCAAATTCCTGCAGCAGAAAGTCCGTACTGCATTAATTATTGTCCAGCTTCCACGATTGCATGTGGGGTTGCATAACAGGTTGTGGGGTTCATAACAACTTAAGACTACAAGTGGGGTTGCTTAACTGGATGTAGAGTTCAGTAAAAGATTTCGGAGCATGGCAGTAGATCAAAATTGATCCAAAAATCAAACTGGTAACAGATTATAAATGTTTCTAGCAATGTTTGATCATGTTGCATCAAACAGCTTCACTGTAACCCTGGCTCTGCACGCCCACTAGGAGCACTTTGCCTAACAGTTGCAGGCACACACACCACAATCAGAACATATTTAAATTCTGGTTACCAAGGACTTCAGTCTCAATTACTGTTTGAAGTTGCATGCAAAGTCCTTGAACTCATGCATCTCTTCTACTCATTCAGCGACACAAATGGTACAACATGATTAGTCAGTAGAAGAACTTAAGTGAATCTACACATATTTAATTTCTGTTTACCTATGTATGAATGTATATGTATACACATACACATATGTGTATATATATGCATGTGGCAATCATCTATTTTTCTTTCTATTAATCTCATTTTGAATTTATATAGGCTTGAAAATATTGCCAGCTTTTACTCACAATATATTGTAAATCAAATTTTATTAATATCCATTCGATTCATCATTTGACATATCTATAAAAATTCTATGGCACAGAGATCTCAAAAAATGAAAAATTTTCACATAGTTTTGAACTGGTATGTTCCTTGTTTTATTCATACAGTTTCTGTCTGACCTGAATAATATATATGTATGTTGATATAGCAAATGAAAAACATTGTAATGGGTTAACCTCACTAGAAAAGTCATGGTTTCCCATTTACAAATCTATTTTCTGTGATTACCAAGAGGGAAGCCAGAAATAGTGTTTTTTAAAAAAGCCATGCATTCAGAAGGGATCTTCATTCAAAAGGAAGAAAGTCTTGATGCTAAAGTGATTTCAGCTGGGCGTTGGTGGTACACACCTTTAATTCCAGCACTCGGGAGGCAGAGGCAGGTGGATCTCTGTGAGTTTGAGGTCAGCCTGGTCCACAGAGCTAGTTCCAGGACTTGCTCCAAAGCAATACGGAGAAACCCTGTCTCAAAAAGCAAACAAACAAAAAAAGTGATTGCAATGTTCAGTCTCACTCCTCCTCTTTCTGTTTTCTATGATAAAAAGCCACAAGTTGCCAGGCGTGAGGAAAAGGAAGGCTGGAGCCCCCCGGAAGAATCTCATCTGTTGATGGATCCAGGTGCTGGGTCCCACGGTACTGTGGATATCAGTACTATATTGTTAAAATAAAACCAGCTTCATCTGGGCACAAATAAATGCTTAGAGGTATATTTGAAAGATTAGCTTAGCTCTTTCTCTCTTTTCCATCCCCCTCTCTCTTGGTGTTTATGTGATTGATTTTTGTGTGTTTCTTTTCTTTCTTTTTTTTCTGTTTTCTTTTTCTTTTTTGGCTTGAGTTCTAATCCAAGAGGTATAAGAAACAATTTCTTCTGACCCGGAAACTGGATTACTTACTAACTAATATTTCTATCCCTTAGGGTCTCAGTGGCTATGTTATTCATGAATTTTCTGCCTTCAGCTTGCAATCTAGAAGGATCACAGTTTGATGGATAGTTTTTTTTAGTAGCTGCAATGTTTGCAAATAGCAAATGGCTTTTTAAAGTGTTGTCATTGCACACCTGTTTGTGGTAAGAACTTGTTTGTGGGAGGGGTCCCTTTTATTAATTTCACAGTGGTAAGATTGCTCTTTGGCCTTTTGAAATCAACATCTGCCTAAAAGCTGCGAAGATTTTTTTTTCTTGCCTATTTTGCCAAAAGAGTCAATCATTCTCTCTTACATAGTTTGAGAACTTCGCATACAGTATTTCAAGTGTGTGTGGTATCTTTTGTTTCAGCCAAACTATGAGATGCTATTCTTTAAAAAGGATATTTAAAAACTGTTTTTTTCCTGTTGTTTCAAAAACTACCATGTTCTGCCTCTATTAAACCAAAGGGAAAATCAGAATATTCACTTTTATAACTAGAGGTCTTGACTGGAAGTTAACAGACTTTCAGGGAATTCCTAAATAAAATTCAGAAGGATTGTATAGACCCAAACAGTAAATGGTTTAGAAGAGAGTTCTGCTCTTTTACACTATTCACCCTTCCCTACACCTTTATTTTTATTTTATTTTTTGCTGGAGATGGTAGTCTCACTCATGCTGTGCAATCACTTTTATGAGAGAGTTCTTAAGAGTTGAAAAACAAAACAAAGCAAAAACAATTAAACCAGATTCTATTTCATAACTAGAAGTCTTTTGATTAAATCATTATTATACGGGCCAATAACATTGAAAACATTACTGCAACAGCTAAGAGGATCTCAATGTCATATATTGTTGATACAGCGTCTGAATTCATTTAAACCAAAGAAAAGGCTGTCAAATTATCTGCATGATTTTACAACTGCGTAAATACTAACCGTCCACTAGGGGGCATAAAAACCTAAATGAACGTTTGGAAACAAACCAGGTCTTTTCTGGTCTTCAGAAGCGAAGATCCGGAAAAGTATTTCCAGTAAATTGCTTGCCCAGATCCCTTATCTTTGCCTACACAAGCTCAACATTCAGGATATATTTTGGGCATCTTATTACTCTGGAAATACTTGAACAGTTCAAAAATCCCACCATTTTCATAGATTACCCAATTTCAAGGTGTTGCCAAAAGGATGCAAAATAATACCGACAATAATTTTCGTCTTCTAGGAAGATAAGTCATCATCCACAATGTGTGCTATCACTAAAATGCCATTTTAATAAGAAGCTCCTCTTTAGGACCCTCAGTGTGAAAATGAGGGCCATTTAAGGACATAGTGTCTACAGAAAGGGGGATGGAAGAGTTTAGATGCCTTCAGCCCATGGACTGAAC